GAGAGAGAGAGAGAGAGAGAGAGAGAGAGAGAGAGAGAGAGTGTGTGTGTGTGTGTGTGTGTGTGTGTGTGTGTGTGAGAGAGAGAGAGAGAGAGAGAGAGAGAGAGAGAGAGAGAGAGAGAGAGAGAATGTGTGTGTGTGTGTGTGTGTGTGTGTGTGTGTGTGTGTACAATATAGAAGAAGGCAATGAAAAATTACTTTGTATTGTTGCTAAGAAAACTACACTGGCAGATCTGCGTAGTCACCTGGAGCTGAACATAATTCAACACAACAGCTTTTATGTATGTTTATGTATATACAATGTGTGTGTGAGAGGACATTTATGACATTTGTCACTGAGCAGATAATCATAAATGCCAACTCATCTATAGCTTATACTGTTTATAAGAAAACAGATTCTCATACATATTTTACAACTGTGGACCAATTTTCAATGACATTGCACCCATAGCTGTCAGGCAATGACAAATGGTAGAATCCTTCTAATATGAAGTTAGACTAATTCTTCATACCTTTTCCCTGACATGAAATACATATCAGAAATACAGAAGATAGATAAAATTGCTATTGAAATGTCAGCCTGCATTTATTTGGGAGGAAGGGAAACAAATGCAGCACATGCCTACAAAATATACCGGTACCTTCCTCATACTGTCCATTACAGAGTGATACATTACAGCAGTGAAAGTGCCAGATCTATGCTTGGGGTTCAGAAAATAATTTTGGAGAGCCAGCTCTCCCATGTATGCATGCATTCCAGAGCTGACAAGATTGAATCCTACTTTAATACTGGCAACAAGGCACTTCCTCTAACAGACGGGAGAGGAACTTAAGGGATTGCAGGCAGGCCACTTGATTAGCCACAGTATGGCCAACTGATACCATCACTTCCCTATCCTCTTTCCACCCTTTTATCTCATGATCTTGAATCCTTTCCTGACAAGTGTTGTTGTTTTTTCTTCTTCCTCCTAAGCAAGGGCCCAATGCCTCTTCACCAGAAAACAGAAATGTGAATGCTAGGGTATACTGTATATCAGGAAAAATGGACCCCATGCAATTCTTCTTCATCTTCGTACCAAAAGAGAAACTCCAATGCCCCCACTGCCAAAAATGCCATCAACACATTTGCAGACAGCTGTAAAACTCGGCCAAGAAAATTTCTCTTCTACCTTAAAAAAAATGTTTCATCTCCCGTGAAAGGAAGAATATATTCATACATTAGAAAAAAGGAAGGCTCAAATATTTTTCAGGAGACTATCTTTAAATGAAGGTGGGGGAAACCCCATATTTTCCAGAGGCAATGGCTATCCTGCTTGAGGAAGAGTTGAAAAAAACCTTGTCACTAATACAAAACATGGACCTAGTCAGTGGTAGAATTCAATTTTTTTTACTACCAGTTCTGTGGGCGTGGGTTGGTGGGCGTGACAGGGAAAGGATATTGTAAAATCTCCATTCCCTCCCCACTCCAGGGAAAGTTACTGCAAAATCCCCATTTCCTCCCGATCCGCTGGGACTCGGGAGGCAGAGAATAAATGCGGGCGGGGCCAGTCAGAGGTATTTACCAGTTCTCTGAACTACTCAAAATTTCTGCTACTGGTTTTCCAGAACTGCTCGGAACCTGCTGAATATCACCTCTGGACCTAATGAAGTATAGTTTCAGTGAATTTTGACTACTGTATTCTCCCACACATCTCTGGTCAACATGGTTATACAGTATTGCTTATTCAATTTGAAAGATATTAAGATATTAACTTTTTTCCTCTTTGAAAAATACCTTGCTGTTTTTTCAAAAGTTCCCTGTTTCCTGGGAAAGAATGCTTAAAGGTGGGGCAAAGCACTTTTCAAACAGAACTATGTAGAAAGAACAAGAAGTAACAGCCCCTGCACATTTATAAGTGAGACAACGCCATGGAGAAAAAACTTTAGACTCAACCCTGCCCAGAGTTGAATCAAATTTCGTAGCATTCCGCATCTACATACAACTTGTGAAAATCACTGAGCCATACAGCAACTCAGCACTAATTCCAGTCAGCTTTGGAAAGCTTGTTCTCAAGAAGATGAGATCAAAGCTCTTGATGTCACTCATTGCAATCCAGACACTTCTGATACAAAAAGAAAATCATTTCCAGTCTTGGATCGCATCCCAAACTGCTGGCAAGCACGTAATCAATTATTTATCTAGAGGAGGAATAATAAGCCGCCAAAAAACAGCTCTCACTGGTTCTGGAGGGGAGCCATTTTTACATCTTGTTTCACAAGATTCTTTGTCCTGTGGGAAAGCCCCATGGCACGTAAGCCCCATGGATCATTATACCCTTGCAGAAAAAGTTCTTAGCCAGTTCTTTGTCTCTGTGGTAGAACCCAGGTTCACTTCTGCTAGCAACACAGATCTGGTCAAACTATGTTTCCAAATTACTTCATGCTGACAGAACATATTCAAATACAATTAAATATTCATTTCCCAAATCCCTCAATACTGAAAACCAGATGCCGGGGAGAAGAAAATAATATTAGGCTTCTCCTAAAGAAGTTTATTAGATCATTAAGTTAAAGTAAAGCATAAAAAAGAGTCCTGCCAATGGAGGTAAATATATGAGTTTCCTACTTAATGAAACTAGAGAATAGATTGATTGGGCTTTGATAAAGCTACATCCCTCCTCAATATCTCCCAAGGCAATAACTTAGAGATCCCATATCATGTATCCATTGTTAATAAGGATCAATGTATATTTTGCACTTTTCTCTACTTTCCTCCTCTAGTTACCTGAAAGCAAATTGGATGCCTAGCTCCCTCAATTTCCAATTTGCTCAAAATCAGACAAAAGGAAGAAAATAGTTTCTAAACAAAATGTATAGAATTCATAGTAGAAACCTTTATTTAAACCTCAATTTAAATATAGAAACAAAGAAGAAAGGAAACAGAAGGTAATTAAAAAGTCCACAAAGAACACAAGGTTACGGAGATTGAGTGCTGTTTAATTCAATGGTCCTCCCACTTTTTTCCTAAACCAAAAATACTGAAGGAATATGTGTGGGCATTTTCATGAGCATCATTTATAGGGTTAAGTTCTAGCGGTGATTCATTGACTTCGTATTTTGGTCCTTCCCTGAGGGCTGAAAA